CGGGGTGGGGTAGAGGAGATTCATCCTCTTCTCTACCCACCCCGTCGGTTGGTTCTTCAAAGATTTTAAATTCCCAAAATGTTCCCCAAGGGCAAGCCTGGCTCCGGGGGAGAGGGGGGGAGGGGCAATCCTCGGTACTGACCATACAGGGTGTTGGTGGAGGCCAGCTCCTTAGCGGCCTGCCCAACGGTGCACCCGAGGTCGTGGAAGGCCACGCAGCTCGGGGTGGTGCGTTTCCCCGTCTCGAAGTCCGAGATGATCTCTGCCTTGCGGCCCCGGAACACCCCCACCACGGAGTAGGTGGTCCCGAGGTCGATCCCGACAGCCGGGATGGCGACGACCTCGTTGGCGCCGCTGTCCGCCATGTCGCATACACTGTTGTGTGAGAAGTTACAGAATTGCCGTAAAATTTGGGTCAGAGAGAGCCCCACCCCCCCAACCACCACAATAAATACAACTGAAACCTACTGCCGCATATTTAATTTGTCACCATTCGCAAGTGGCTGATCCAGTAAGGATCACGTTACGAAGGACAAACACTTTTCGAAGGGGCTACCTTTTCTACCAAACAACTGCGCTTTTGTTGAGACTTGACCAAAAATGAACCTACTGTCTCGAAGTTTGGCCGTTTAAAGCCGAAAATTTAATGAAGGCGAGCTTGAAACACTTTTGAAGATATCGGCAAGGGACAAATAAGAAGAAAGCAGAAATACAATAGTACCACAGCCGCGAATAGAAACTTGTCGAAGGGAATACACTTACCGAAACCCTAACCTCACTGGATAGGCTATGTAGCTGGGCGTCGCGTTGCAGATCTCGTCTGTCTCTCGGGCGTCCGCTGTCGTTGCTGGCTGCCGCTGCTCGCTGCTTCGGTTGTTGTTGTTGTTGTTGTTGTTGTTGTTGTTTTGGGCCTCTCGGCTGGCTCGGTCTCTCTCGTTCTCGCTGCGCCGTGGCGGCAGTAGCGAAGGGGGCAGTCGTGTCTCCGGTGTCTCCCGCTCCCCCTGCGCTACCGCTTTATCAGTCCGGTCCCGACTCGCCTGCAGCACGCGCGCACGGTCTCCTGTCCGCGAACCGCCTGCCTCGCGACGAGCTGCAGACGCTGCTGGAAGCAGCACAGATATGGACGAACGGCGACATGGGGGCTTCCAGGTGCCCCGGTCATCCTGGTCGCACCGGCGCGGGCGATGGCGCAGCCGCTGGATGCCCAACAAGGTCAACAGGTCGCCTCGGCAGCAGTTCGGAGTGTACGCCACCCACGCTCAGCACGGCAGGTCGGGGAGGACGCCGCTGGACATCAGGCGCCGGTCGCTGTCGCTGTCGCCTGGACGGGGAGGTAGAGGTGAGAGCCGTTCCTTGGGGGACTAAAGCATTCCGGTAAAGCTGAAATGCAGAAGAATGCAGGAAACAAGTAAACGGAAGTTCCATGTAAAAGCATAGTGAATTCCGTTTTCTGCTTCCTCGCATTCTTCTGCATTTTGGCTTTGCCGGAATGCTTTCTTGCCCGCGATGCAATGAGTTCGGCCCTGCGTCTTTGCGTTCATGATGACACTCACTCACTCCCCCTGCCGAGTC